GCATTTCTGTTTTTGTGAAAAGTCATGGATTTTATCTTTGTATTTTAACAGCTCAGGTGCTAGCTTTATAATGTAATAAGGAGGTACATACTTTTTGCATTGTTATGTGTAATCTGCCATGTTTAAAACATTAAATGAGTGATTCCTGCTGATTTTGTGAAATGGTGTATATTTTAAAGTTATGTTACAGCATTTTATTTTATTTATTTTTTTTTTTGGTGCTGGGGATTGAACTCAGGACCTTGAACTTATGAGGCAGGCACAGTGCCACCAAGCTAAATCCGCAGCCTGTGTTAATAACATTTTAAAGTTCAAATTCCTTTGCAAGTTAACATTTTGATGTCTTCAATTTTATTTTTAAAATTTAGTTTTAAATTGAAATGTATCTGATTGGCTTATTATAGTATTATCTTTAATACTTGGAGAAGAATATCTTGAGAGAAAATTGCTGTTTTGTTTTTTACATGATAGCTAAGAGCATACCGTTTTTCCTTGTGGAATTTCTTCTTTTGTGTGTGTGTGTGTGTGTGTGTGTGTGTGTGTGTGTGTGGTTTTTTGAGACAAGGTCCTACTATGTAGTTGAGACTGATGTGGAACTCACTATGTAGCCTAGGCTGGTCTCGAACTCACAGCGTCCTCCTGCCTCAGCCTCACGAGTGCTGGGATTACAGGCGTGAGCCACCACACCCAGCTTCTCATGGAATTTCTTAATAAGATTTATCATATTTCCTAATAAAATTTACCTTTGTTTTTTGTTTCTTTGTTTTGGTAGCAGGGATAGATCTCAGGACCTTGTGCTGAGCTAAACCTTTGGTCTTTATAATGGGTAAATAGGCCCTACTTTATAGTTTCAGTACATTTTGTATCTGTTTGTATTTTGCCTTGAAGTAGGAAGAACTAATCATCTAGGTTCATTTAGGATACTTAAGAATATAATCCATGTAGAGTAGATATTATAAAATTTAGGCTTTTCTCAAAATCTTTTGAAATATTTGTGAATTTTAAGGGGACCACACTTTTTAAAAAATCCTCAAAAGATAGTCTCTTCTTAAGTGGTCCCAAACTAAACATAGGATAGGAGAAAAGCTAAATTCTAATTTATTCATTCTGTTGTTAAAGTTTTCAGTGTTCAGGTCTGAACTCATTTAGACATGCATTCTTTTTTTTTGGTACCAGGGATTGCACTCAGGTCCTTGCGCTTGTAAGGCAGGCACCAGAACTACTGAGCTAAATGCCCGGCCCTGTATTCTGTTTTTTTAAAAAAGCATTTATAAACCTGAGGGTCAATAGTACAAATGTATAATTTGTATGAAATGAGATGGCAAGGTCAGCACTGCATGATTAGTCAGTGAAACAGGCGTTCCAAGCCGTAGTAGTAACATCTGGTCAAAAGTGGAGGTGAGGTGTTTGGGTTATGGCAGAGAATATCTTTATGCCGCTATTGCCCAAGAAGTAGTACTCAACGAAACATATTCTTAGTCACATTTAAACTCAGAAATTTCACTCTGCTGTGCTGAATGTTGTTTGTTAATAGTTTTGGTTTTCTGACTGCTAATTGTGTTTGTCTCTTACTTTCTCTAGTTTAGTAATGGTATCTTTTTTTTTCAGAGTGGAAATAGTTATTTAAATTATCTGACAATAACTAGGGTAGAATGCAGGTGTTCCAGTTATTTGAGAAGTGAATTACTTTATGTGCAGTATTTTACATACTAGGTACACTGACTATAGTCTAATTTGAGACTTAAGGTTTCCTCACATGATTGTCTGGGCCCCTAAGTCTGCCAACCTTCATATTAAAGAGCATTTTTTCTTTGTTGGTAGTTTTTTTGTAGGCACACATTTAAATCTTATGAGTACTCCTTTGGAAAAATCTAGTAAGCAACAGTCCATTTGGTTTTGCTTTAAAAATGTGTTTAGTGTATCCATTTCTTTGGGAGAGCTCATAAAATCAAGCCATGTTGACTTAATGTTTTAGAATAATTCACTCACTGGAAATTCCTCTCATAAAGGCCACCTTTCCTCCTCCTCATGATAAACTGCCCACATTACTTAATTAGACCATTGGGGTTTTTTTCATACTTATCTGTACTTATTTATTGTCTTAGTTACTTTTCTTGTTGCTGAGACAAAATAACCACCAATCAAAGTTAAAGGAGAAAAGTTTTATTTGGCTCACAGTGTGTAGAGGTTTTAGTCCATAGGTGGCTGGCTCCAAGGCAGAGGGGCATCGCAGAGGAGACACAGTCCATGGCAGGGTAGGCAGGTGAGAGCACACTAGCCCTCTTTCTGTTGCTTATATTTTATGCAGGCTACCTGCCGTAGGGTGGACAAAACACTTACACCTTTAATCCTAGCCAGAACTGTGCCAGACCAGTCAGTGGACTGATTTAGTCACCACGCTCCCTCAATCCCAGCATCACACACTCCAGATCCAGCCCCCTCTGAAAAGCCCCACCTATGACTGCATGAGGCTTGGGGACACTAATAGGCACAAGCTGTAGCATTTATGTTTTGACTTTTATTAGTACATGTCGGCAGTACATGAGTACCCATTATAGGGATTGTACAGGAGATACCACATTTCCTGTCGGCAGTACATGAGTACCCATTATAGGGATTGTACAGGAGATGCGACAGTTTACTGCCCTCCCCTTCCCTCCATCCCTTTTTATTTTTCCAGCATCAGATTCAGTTTTTTAAATCTAAAACCTTGTAATTATCATATATAGAAAACCAGACTAACAGGCCAAGAACATATAAAACATGTAAGACAATTGTAATTTTTATTTGTTTGCTTGTTTGAGACACGGTCTCTCTGTGTAGTTCAGGCTGGCCTTAAACTCATTAGGTAGCCCAGGCCAGCCTCAGACTCACAGTGATCCTCCTGCCTTAGCCTCCTGAGTGCTGGGATTAATTGTAATCATTGTTTATACTGTGATAATATAGTAGAATGAACCACCTGGGTGGCAAGATTTTATTTGATTTTGGGGGGGTGGGTACTGGGGGTTGAACTCAGGACCATATACTTTTGAGGCAGGCATGGCACCACTGAGCTAAATCCCCAGCTATTTGGTTCTTTTTTAGTTAGAACCTAATGACAGATGAGATATTTGATTTATTCAGATGAGGAAGTTGATACATGGTGACATCTCACCTTACTAAGCTACCTTTTAAAAGTCAAATTTACATTTCAAAACACTTGGAAATTTTGTGTTACAGTATAAATTGTTTGATTTAATTTTTTTAAAATTAAAAAAATTTTTTTTGGTGTTGGCTGTCAAACCTAGGGCCTCTTGCACACTGGGCACTGAGCTACACTCCCAACCCCAGATACCACCTTCGTGGCTGCAGAGCTTCTCAAGAAGTCTACACGGTCACATGTAGGTGCAAGAGCAAGGCCACAAACTCGGTGTCGTGTAACCCACTTGACATGGCACCTTCTCTAAATTCTCTGGGGTTGGATTGGTGCTCAGCGCTGACAGACTGCATTGCGCAGGCGCGTGCCCTGGGACTGCGTTCTCCTTCCCACACTGTGGGAGCTTCAGGGAACATCTAGGGATTGAGGGTCAGAGTCAGTTCCTGTACTTCATTCAGCTCTGCGGGTGTTGGAGATGAGGACCTAGGAGACGGAAAAAATGCGGGCGCACATCCCAATGTTCGTAACCTGGGGTTTGGAGGAATGGTTAGTAGTTCTGAGAAGTGAATCCATGATGACTTATGAAAAGTTAAGTTTGTAATTTTGATAAATAAACTTATTGATTAGAAATGTGTTTTACTGCTTTGTCAATTGTGATAAGAGAGATTTCTCTAATGTCTTTTTTTGGCGGGGAGTTGAGACAGGGTCTCACTATGTAGTGAGACTGACCTGGAACTCATTATGTAGCCAGGCTGGTCTCGAACTCACAGAGATCCTCCTGCCTCAGCCTCCCGAGTGCTGGGATTACAGGCGTGCGCCACCACACCTAGCTCTAATGTCCTAGTGAGATTATCCCAGTAGGTTTTTACTGTCACATGGGGGTTTAGCTACTCTGTTGCACATTCAAGTAGACACTGTACCAGTTGTGACAGAGAAGACTGGGAAATGTGTCTGTGGTAGGAGTAAACGTTAGCTGGCCACCCAGGTTCGCCTGGGACACAAGGATTTCAGTTGTCAAACAGGGTTAATTCTGGCAAACTGGAACAAGTTGACCTTCTGAATTTAGTGGGTACAAAGGCCAGATGCCACAGCTCAGGTATCAGTGAGTCTGGAGGTTTAGGCTGTGCACTTTTGGCTCCGTGATACCACTGTGGCTTATGGCTTTATGTAACCATTATGTTCCCTTTAGCAGTTTGAGGTAGAGCATTCCAGCTAAGGAAACAAAAGGATTTTAAATGGTTTCTGAAGGTCACATAGCTGGTAAACGGCACAGGTGGATGTGGGTCTGAGCAGCTCCTGTCAGAGTTAATAGCACTGTAACTGTGAATCCTAATTATTAAGATGAGGAAGGAAGAACATCCTTACTGGCCTTTTAAGCCTAAAATCCATGGTAATGGGTACTGTACTTTTAAAGTTTCTCACAAAAAGACAGGATCCAGTGCTTTAGAAAAATGCAGGCATACCAATTTTTTAATATAATTTCACTGCCATTAGAGATAATATAATAAACTGTATTATAAGGAGATGTCATTTGTCTAGAATTAAATGTTTATCCGAGCTGTGTTTTCCTTTTTCCGTTTTTCTTTCTTTAGTCTGGTATTTAGGCTTTCAAGGCAGACATGGCGCCACTGAGCTGACTCTCCAGCTGAGCTGTGTTTTCATAAGCAGTGCATAAAAGCAGAAGGAAAATGTCTGGATTTAGTGTAGGGTTTTTATTTAAATGCCTTGTTATTGTTAGTAAAGGCTTTTGTTTTGTTTCGCCTCATATTATGTGCTAAAATTCTAAGACAGTGTAATGTATTGTTACACAACAATGGCAAGCGTTGTCCTATGAGTAACTTTTAATTAAATTCATATTCTTCAGGTAAAAAGAACATACTCACACGGTACTTACAGAGCTGGCCCAATGCGACAAATAAGCTTGGTGGGAGCAGTTGATGAAGAAGTGGGCGATTACTTCCCCGAGTTCCTCGACATGTTGGAAGAGTCACCATTTTTAAAAGTAAGAGGAGATAACCTCAGCCTTCTAAATTGTGGGTGTCAGTTCATGTACGTGTTACAAGTGAATGGCTTTTTCAGAGTTGTAAACACGCTGGTCTTACTTAAATTGAAGGGAAGGCAAGGAAGACAGGAAGCAGTAGTCATGGTAGGTGTCTGTGAGACGCAGGCCCTCTCAGTGCGGTGGGGAGCCCGACAGTACCATTCCTGTCGCTGCCTCTTTGGGAAACGTGGTTCCATCTGCTTATCAGCTCTTTTCAGACCAAGTGTCAAAGGACATAAGGATAGGACGAATGCCTGCAAAACTAAAATGTGTAGGACAGAAGAATGGTTTTGCATTGTGAAAAACTACGTCCGTGTTTTAGCTGTGGCCGTACCTATGTGGGTTAAGCAAACCATTTCAACTTTCAAGGCTTCCGTTTCTTCTTCTGTAAAATAAGACCTTTAGGCCACGTCACACAGTGCTCCCTTAAATTCCTTAAAGAATTGCTAGCCTGACTCCTTTCTAAAACAGCCTCTGCACCCAGGAAATATTTGTTTCTGTGGAGCACAGGGCCCTCCCACCGAGGCACGTCTGGCTGCGTGGTGGGAGGCCGTGGGACCGAGGCGCAGCTGTGGGAAGATGGGCTCGCCTCGCCTGTAGTGTGCCTTGTGTGAGGCCTTCGCCCTTCTGCGCGCTCCAGTTTCGACCCTGTGTGTTTACATATCTTACCTTCTCTCTCACCTGTTCTGTTTCTTTCTTTCCCTTTTATTCCTTTTAACTTTTTATTCCTTTTCTGTTTCTTCCAACTAGTTACATCATGGGATTTGCATTTATTGTTGAATAATATTTTTAAATATTTCAGAATATTTAAATGGCTGCTTCAAATTTAATTTTCAAAACAAATGAAGTAAATACATTCTTTTTAAGAGAAATTTGGTAATCTTTCCCTCTCTCAGAAGAGGATATAATTGTTTAAAATACCGTCCTCATCATATCAGTGGCTTTCAGAAATACATTTCTTTTCTTTTTATCTTCTTCTTGCCCTCTTTCTTACTCCCTACCCCATTTTATTGTCTCTTAAAAATATTTTAGTCTTTGGTTTAGGCCAGCAACCTCTTCGAGACAGAATTAAACAGAAATATATTCTGATTTTGATTTGGTTTCTTTTTTTGTTTTGTTAGTATTTGATTACTAATCAAAGAGATATCTGGCTTGTATTTGTTTGGTTTTTATTTGTTTGTGTTTGAGACAGGGTTCACTGTGAGGTTCAGACTGGCTTTGAACTTGCTATATATATACCAGGGTGGTCTCAAACTTGGGATCTTCCTGCCTCAGCCTCCCTAGTGCTGGGATTATAGACATATGCTACCACATTCCACTCCATTTTTTAAATTCAGATTTCATTGTTGGGCTAGGTGTGGTGGTGCATGCCTATAATCCTAGCACTTGGGAGACTGAGGCAGGAGGATCGCTGTGAGTTCAGGGCCAGCCTGAAATACCTAGGGACAAAACAAAAACAAAACAAGACAACAAAAAACTCATCATTAATTTTTATAGATTATTATGAGAAGCATTTATTAAAATCATATGACTCCTATATTGGGCAGAAAGAAGAATAACATGATGAACACAGTGAGTCAAACTTCTGGCAGGGAGGGAGGGAACTGTCCAAGAGTGATTTTCTTTTGATATTTAGAAATAGAACTTTTTGAAGATAAACATGAATATATAGGAGTATATTCAGTGTGATGTGTATTTCAGATCCATGAGCTGTGTGTGATTGTTTGTGAAGGAAACAATAATCTCTCAGGTATATTTGAAGAAACACTTTGAAGTAATGGGTTTCTGTGTAATCACTTCCCTCTAGTGTACACTGCCGTGGGGGACGCTCTCCAGTCTCAAATTGGAGAGTCGCAAAGATAGCGACGATGGCCCCATCATGTGGGTGCGCCCCGGAGAGCAGATGATCCCCGTGGCTGATATGCCAAAGTCACCTTTCAAAAGGAAACGGTATGTCAGACACATGCTTCTGTCGCTGAGGTTGAGAAATTGTATGTGGGGAGATGCGCACGCGTTGTGTGTCGGAAACGGAGGAGGAGGAAGGGAAGGAAGGTCTAGGGCGCATTTGGAAGGTAAATTCAGAACTAGCTACAGTGCTGCCTCAATTTGTTAGAAGACGTGCAGTATGCATGAGACACAAGGAATGCAGGCAGAGACAAATTTTAACTAGGAATGGAAAGACTCACTCCTACAAAGACGGTATAAACTGTTCAGAAATAAACTCCGTAAGAAATCTTCAGAATCTGTGTTCTGAAAGCTGAGACATCTCTGGGGGACATGGACAGCACCAGATGTCCTTTACGGTGTCTGCACTTCGCCTGGGCTCACGGTTCCAGCTCTGCACAAAATGACTAAGAAAATAAATGGAAGGAGCATGTTTTCAGATGAAGAAAATCATCATAAAACTCAGGTGGATGATTGGCATAGGGTAGAGCCCAGAAATAGCTGAGGATAATGAGAACTGGGTATACGAGACCGGTAGAGAAAGGAAGCCTGATAAAAAACAGAGCTCTCCTGTCAAATGGAAAGTTAGGGATTTAAACAGAACAGGTAAACAATAAAAATATCAGTATAAACATTATAAGCTTGGAAGTGATCTTCCTAACCAAGACCAAAATAAAGTATTACTACTATTTAGGAATAAAGCAGTAGTTCACTTGTGATGAGCTAAAAATGTACAAAAAGAATTCCCAAAATTGACAAGAAAAATGAAAACCAATCCAGAAATATAATCCTCACGCAGATAAGTTTATTTTAGAAAAGGAGAGATTTTTCAGTTACAACTGAGTAGAGTACTAATGTCAGAGGCTCATAGGCATGGGAAGCAGTCTAATTGCTGAGAGAAGGGTGAGCTGCTGTGCTAATGTAGTGAAAGTATAAAGCAGTACCTCATGAATTAACAGCTAATACCGTTCATGTCTTGAAAACACTTTCTGCTTTTTTCTTGTTAATTTTTCTTTTTTTTCTTTCTTTTTTTTGTACCAGGGATCGAACTCGGGTCCTTGTACTTGTGAGGTGGGCGGCGGAACCACTGAGCTAAATCCCCAGCCCTGATTTTTCATTTTAAATGTACTTTTGTGATTAGGATATAAACTCCTGTGAGGGAATGGAGTTCGTTTGTCACTGTTTGATGTGTGAGCCTCATGCCTAGACAGTACCTGGCACACGGTGTGTGTCCTGTACACACTGAGTTACTGCACTGCTCAGTACTCAGAACCTTTGTGTTCTCAGCACTCGGTCCCAGGCGAAGACTTGGGCACCATTGACCCCCTTCCCACAGGGGTCCCTGGGACCATGAACAAGACCCCTGTGATGGAGCTTAATTTATAATTAGGCTCAGCCAGAAATAAACATTGATAACTAATAATAATATGACCGTGATAACAATGTGCTGTAACAGAAGAAATGAATGTGGTCTGTCTTTCAGTATATCTTACTTCACTTGCACCTTTTCATTTAAAGGAAGCACTTCCCGGCTTTTCTTTGCACACCTCAAAGACAGCATCAGTACTTTGCATTTAGGGCCATCATTGAGTAAGATAGGAGGTGACTTAACGGAAGCGCCCTGATGCTAGGACAGTGATGCATTTGATCACCAGGCCTTGGAGGGACTGGTGGGGAAGGCTGGGTTTCCTGGACCAAGAGATGATTTATATTCTGGGCAGAGCTGAGGGAGATGCCACCAGCTTGCTAACGCTACTCAGACAGCGAGCATTTGACAATTTAGGAATAGTTTATTTCTGGAATTCCCCCCTTAATAATTTCTAAACACAGTTGAGCACAGTTAACAGATGGCAGAGGTGAAAATGCAGTCAAGAGGGGACCGCTGTGTAGGGAGGCCTGGTAAACCACGGTTCTTATCCAAGTAGGTTTTTCCTTACATCTGCCTCTTAGGGGAGCTCTTGTTCAGTTTAAAAGTACAATTTGATTTGGGAGCTGGTAATCTTGTTTTAGTACCAGGGATCGAACTTGGGTCCTTGCGCTTGCAAGGCAGGCGGCAGAACCACTGAGCTAAATCCCCAGCCGTAAATGTTACTCTTTTTGTGTGTGCGTGAGAAAACAGCTTTATTACTGAGATGGAAGTGATTGCATGCTGAGTTCAACAGCCAGACCTCTTGTCATTCTCTGAAGCTTTGACTCCTGCCAGAGAAAGTCCTATGACTACTGGAAAGGTAGTAATGTCCACAGTCAGATGTACAGGGATCATGCCTCTGATCAGTCCACAAAATGTATTGCTTTTAGGCAGCACTGAAATGTCAGTTATGTATTAAAGTACTAGACACCAACATTTGAACAGATTTCCTGAGAACTGGAAAAAAATCATGTTTCAACAACTGATGAGATTTTTTTCTTTCTTTGAATGAAAAAATCTGATCTCTCAGACAGTTCCTTCTGGAACAAATTTTCTTCTCCCCCAGTCAGTCCCAGTGGGTTCACCTTTAGAGGCTCTGGGGCTAGGACAGGAAGTGAGACGTGTGAATGTCTCATCACTGGAGATAAATGTTGCTCTTTTTTAAAAACAGAACTACCAATGAAATAAAAAACCTCCAGTACCTACCTCGAACCAGTGAGCCTCGTGAGATGCTCTTTGAAGACAGGACACGAGCCCACGCAGATCACATCGGCCAAGGCTTCGAGCGGCAGACCACGGCCGCCGTGGGAGTGCTGAAGGCTGTGCACTGCGGAGAGTGGTGTGTACTATAATTTACACCATTTTAATGTTTTCCATAAGGAGCTGTAACACGATGATGACATCTGGTCTGCTAAGTCAGTGCCTTTCCTTGCATCATTGTAATCAAGGACCCTCTGAGAAAGCGTATAAGCTGCCCTGTGAGACAGTGATGCATGTGCTGCTGGCAGTTCAAGCCAGCGGAATAATTGAATCCAAATCAGATCTGCCCAGCAATGAGACATAATTATGGCCTGTGGTTTAATTTCCTTTCAATTATTGCCTGTGTGTGCACTTTGCCGCTTGATATGTGGCCAGGGCTTATGGATTGTGTTCGCTTCACAGTCTATCTGTAGAGCCAGAAAATATGTGTTGAATGAAAAACAACTTTCATGGCTACCAGTTTCACAGTGAAAGGGACCATTACCAAAGTTCTACAATATCAGATGACCAAATTTAAGACTATGAGATCTATTTTGGAATGAGGGAGATATTGTCAGCAGTGACAGTTTTCTGTCACTATTGCAAAATAATTTGCTTCCCATATGTTATGGCTTATATCTAGATGATCCCTCAAAGCCTCATGTGGTCATAGGGGGAGCTTTTTGGCGATGGCTGGATCTAGTGTGTGATGCTGGGTTTAAGGATGCGATGCTGGGATTGATTCATGGTGCAGTGCTAGGATTAAGGGTGACTCACCCTGGGTGTGAGTGCTCCCCACCCTAAAGGACAGAATGTAAGGACTGAAGGGAGCTGTTTTTGCTGCTTGTTGTTTTCTTCTTTGCTGCCTTCTGCCAGCCATGAACTCTTTCTCCTCTGCGATGCCCCTCTGCCATCCCCCTTGTCTTGGAGTCAGCCAACTATAGACTGAAACCTCTACACACTGTGAGCCAAGTAAACCTTCCCTCCTTTAATTTTCAGCGTTGGGCATTTTGTCTCACCAAGAAAAGTAACTAAGACACCATATCAGGGCTGCTTTTTAATGTTTTAATACTAATGATGGTAAAAAGTAACTTTGTTGGTGCTATAGGAAGGCTTTGTGCCTGTGTTAACTTTCTATCACTATAGGACAATACTTGAGGATAATTAACTTACAAGGAGAAAAGATGTACTTGGGTTCGTTTTAGAGGTTCCAGTCGGTGATGCAGCACACTCAGTGTTTTTAGGCCTCTGCCAGGGAAGCACATCATGGTGGAAACATGTGACAGAGCCAAAATGCTCACCTCACAAAGCAGAGACAGCCCCACCATCCCTTTGGAAACTACTTTCCACTAGGCTCTGCATACCCAAAATGCACCACGTCCCAGTGGCACCACCCCAGGGACCCAACCTTCTCTGCTTAGGCCTTCGGGGGACATTCCAGATCTAGAATCTAGCAGTGGCTCTGATACAAAAGTGCTCTGATCCTTTCATTATTGTTTCTTTACATTGAAGTAAGCCAAACCAAGGAAGTTGCCTTTTTCTTTTTCCTTATAGTTGTTTTGAGTTCTGCTCTTAAGAAGACATTACATGATTCACATTACCTCTGTGACATTAATAATACTAGAGTACATTCCTAAAAAACTCAAGCAGAAAAATTTAAAACCTTAAACTATATGATACGAGAAGGAGGAAAAAGAAGTGGTACAAAGGATCCTAATGGGGAGTAGAAAGATATTTATATAATTAAGTAAAAGGAACAGAAAAAAGTGATGAGGAATCGATAATAAATGTAAAAAAGGAAGGAAAAAAAAGCAAGTATATATAGAGAAAAAATTAAAATGGACAAAATTAAAAGAAGAATAAAGAAAGAAAGAAAAGCAGGCTGGGGACTTAGCTCAGTGGTGATTCCGCCTGCCTTGAAAGCACAAGGGCCTGAATTCAATTCAAAAATGAAAGAGAAAGGAAAAAGGAAAGGAGATAAGCAAGGAAGAAAGACAAAAGAAAATCCCCCAGGTCTTAATAAACTGGCTAAGAAGAAAGGAGAAAAGGAAAGAAAAAAGAAAAAAAAGAACAAAGAACAAAGTACCCCATTGAACCCCCTCCCCCCAAAATGAAAAAATTTCTCTGTGGTTTTGAATGTGTGGTTTCCTTACAGGATCTCCACTTTGGGGCAGTGTCCAAGTCCAGATGTGACCCTGCTCACACCTAGATGAAGAAAGCATTCAGACAGCAGATCTGTGCTGGATGTGGGTACCAGTAGGCAGGTGGATTAGGGCCAAGGCGCCAGTGCTGCCACTTTCAAATCTAGAGTGACTCAGGCTCAGCCTGGCCTCTGGCTGTGCAGGCGTAGTCTGTGTCCTTCAGCTCCATTCTCTCAGGGCTCGACCTGGCCTTCTGACCATAGCTGTGTCCCTGCTGACTGTCACACGGTCACTGGGAGCCCTAAAGTGAAGCCATCCCAGGCTGCTCTGAGTCCAGGATCCAAGCAGTCGTCCTTTTCCTGGAATGACATCCAGCCAAGCATTCTCTTCTGAGTCGTGGTGGGCACTGGGGCTGAATTCACTCAGCCACGATTGCCTGTTGAAGGACTCGTGTGGGGCAGCATCTTGTGCTCTCCCTGCAGATCACAGCACCTGCTTGTCCATCCCACCATTGCACTTCTCAGCGATACCCACTGTAGTCCCAGCTTTTGCTTCGTCTCTAGATTCAGTCTGCCTTTCTACAAGCCATAAACTCTGGTGAAAGTGCAGACTGCCCTTTCCTTCTTCGTGTTGTATTCTGTTTCTCTAATTCCTCTGTAGGTTTTAATTTTCCTTTCAGATCCTTTCTGGTTCCCAAGGATCTACCAGTCTCTCTCTCTGCCGCCCCCCTTTCTTCTCTAAGTTATTATTTTTCCATTGTCTGGATTCTGTATCTTGAAGAGGCTGAGTTGTCGCTTACCATGCTGGCATTTTTCCAGCTGTTTTTTTTTGTTGTTGTTTTTTTCCCAGACAAAAATTTGTTTATTTTTAGTTTATGCTGGAATCTTGGCTAGTTTGAGATCTTCTCTAATGTAAATATTTAAAATTAAAAATTTAAGCACCACTTTAGCTATATTTCACAAATTTGATGCCATGTTTTCATTATTATTTGGTTCATATTTCTTTCTTTTTTGTTTTTGAGGTGGTCTCACTATGTAGTTGAGACTGACCTGGAACTCACTATGTAGCCCAGGCTGGTCTCAAACTCACAGCAATCCTGCCTCAGCCTCCCGAGTGCTGGGATTATAGGTGTGTGCCACCACCCCTGGCTTATTTGGTTCATTTGGTTCATATTTCTAATTTCCTCTTTGGTTTATTTTTTAACTCATATGTTGTTGAAAACTTTTTTAGCGGGGGAGGGATCAAACTCAGTTCCCTGAGCTTGCGAAGCAGGTGCCAATGTTATTGAAAACTTTTTTTTTGGTTTTTTTGAGACAGGGTCTCACTATGTGGGTGAGACTGACCTGGAACTCACTATGTAGCCCAGGCTGGTCTACATAGTGATCATGGCGATCCTCCTGCCTCAGCCTCCTGAGTGGTGGGATTACAGGCATGCACCACAACACCTAGCTTGTTGAAAACTTAATTTCCAATATTTGAAAATTTTTTCCAAAGTTTTTATATATGTGCATAGTATTTCTAATTTAATTTCCTTGTGGTCAGAGAACATATTCAGTACTATTTCAGTCCTTAGTTTCTTTTAGGGACTATCCTTTTCTTTTTTGGTACCAGGGATAAAACTCAGGGCCTTGTGCTTTTGAGGCAGGTACAGAGCCACTGAGCTAAATCCACAGCCCTTTTATGGACTGTCTTGAAGAATGTTCTGTGTCCACTTAAAAGAGTGTATACTTGGTGTTTTGGTGGGGTTTGTGCTCTAGAAATGTCAAGTAAGTCAACTTGCTTGATTGTGTGGTTCAAGTCTTCTATATCCTTACTGATTTTTGTCTGTTTGTTAATCTCCAGTTCTAATTTTGGATTTATCTACTTCTTTGAATTTTTCTAATTTTTCCTCCAAGTATTTTTGTTTTGTAAAAGCTTACTGGAGACATAAATCAAATACCATATGAATATACGTAGGAGAGGTATGGGTGGGTCAAATAGAATTTCTACTTTTAATTTTTTGAGGAGTCTTCATACTGATTTTTCTAATGGTAGTAGTTCACATTCCAACCAACAATATACAAGGGTCCCTTTTTCTTCACGTCCTGGCCAGCATTTGTTGCTTTTTGTGATAGCTATTCTCACTGGGGTAAGATGGAATTTCAGAGTTGTTCGGATTTTCACTTCTCTAATGCAGGCCTAAGATGATGAATTTTTCGTGTACTTATTGCCCATTTGTACTTCTTCATTTGTTAAGTGTCTATTCAGTTCCTCCACTTATTTCTTTAGTTCTTTATTGTATCAGTCAGTGCTTAATAGAGAAATAGATTTAATGCAGTATATACAAATATAAGATAATATACAAAATAGGCTTACAGTGGCTGCCTAGAGTCAGGTATGGTGCAGGTGAACAGCTTGAAACCGGATTGAGCAGGCTTTAGATATTATTAATTTGGCTTATGACTCTGACTATTGGTTAAGATTATGAGTTACTCCAAGACCCAAGTATGAATTACTAATTGACCCTTTCTGCTGGTGTTTGGAGATAAAGTTCCCTATGCCAGTGGTCACACTAGAGGTCTCAATGATCGATGAGGTTGTGATATCTCTAATAGCAAGGAAACACTGCAGCTGGGGAATTACTACTGTGCAGCCATTCTCCAAGATCAAACATAAGCTATAGATAACACAGGTGTCTTGTTAACTTCACAAGACCACATCATTACTCCCCCTTTACAGCCAGGCTCATTAGTGCTTCAGCTCTGCAATTCCCTTTGCATCCCCTTGCTGTGCTGTGTAATCATAAATACTGACTGATCCAGTGCTTGTGATCTTAGGATAGAGCTAAGATCAGGCAGTACTTAGATGGGAGAGAGCTAAGAATCATCTCCCTGCCTCCACAATTAACAAGCCATCATTTGTTATTCTTCATCTCTTGTCCTTTGTATATTATTCTCTCATCCCCTGCAGTCCCCTTATC